TTGCAGCTTGTTCACTATTTTTTTACTCATGAGTCTTGGAACACCAGCCAAAGGATGTTTCCTTCTGCTTGGCCCGCTCAGCCCGCCCAACAATGGGCTTCAAGATCCGCTACTGCTCGTCCTGTTGGACACTGAGCGCTAGCTGACGGTAGCCGTCGCCATCCTATACGGGAGGCAGTTCATGTGTTGTCCGCTAGCTCACGATAGACATGCCCTATTTAACGACAGGTCCACCTAGATATTCTATGTTATGATAACATCATCAGAGTGTGCGGGCCGTGAAAGTTATTGCAAAGATCTTGTCCGTGAGACCAAAACTTTCCATAACTTTAACTACAGAATGACCAATCATGTCACTGGCAATTTGATACGTCAATTATTCTGAATCCTATGATTCTTTTTTCTTGTTCTGTCATTTCCGTCAACTTAATGAACACCCACACTAATGTAGTCTTTCTTAGCCCGACCACTCAAAATATTAGATGTTAAAGAAACAGAAAAGATGCACATAGTACAGTCTTCTTTTATTTTCTAAAGACAATCGTGCATAGCTTTTTCATATCCCTAGTTGTAGTTTGTCTAGAAACTGGAACAAATCTAGGATTATGAGTAGTTTGAATATATTCAGTAAAAGCGGGAGTTTCACCAAAATCTAATGGCCAATCATAAGAAGCAATTAAACGACAAAGAACTTCTCGGGCTCTTTCAGAATCATAGTCCCAATGACTTACCGAATCGTCGGGGTTGTATTGGAGCTAGGTCTGTCTCATCGCCATCTCCCCTCCTTCAAGTGGCTCTCATAATGCCTCTTCCAGTGGCTGGTTCCTTTTCCCACTTCTTAGACGAGCTCATTATTTCATCTTTTGCACATAGCCTTCCACCTCATTACACCTTCCACCACATATATATGCTTCTTGGTCGAACTAATTCCACACAACGGAGGACTACCGACAAAACCTTTTTGCATCAATGGTGGAGGTAGTGTTGGTGCTACTTGAATGGGATTGTGCATGAGAAGGTTATGTATAAGAAGGTTGTGAAGGTGGTGGTTGTGGCTCATGAGAAAAAAGATTGAGGTTGTCGGATATGTTAGTCCTGAATTCATGTGCCTCGAAGGTGGCGAACTAGTTGGGATTGAGATCACCCATGAGAAGGATAGGGAAATGATAGGGGGGTACCCTATTTATAGCAAAAAAATCACCAATTTTAGTCCATCTTACCCCTTTGAAATTAAAATTGAAAGTTAAAAGGCCAAAATGCAGCTAAAAAGACCTAACAACCCTAAAAGGCCGACTTATTAGGCCGTGTGCCGCGTGTCCGGCCCGACACGTCGGCCTCATGCTCCTGTTCGTGTGGCCCCCGCTCTAGCCCATGTGCTGGTCGCGTGTCGGGCACGGCATTGTTACCCCACCCGTCCTAGTCGGCATTAGGTCATGTACAATGGTGGCGTGTGGATATAGATGCCTCATGAAAAAAGTAACTTGAGGCATCTATATTGATTTATTTTCTCCTCAACGCAAACTACTAATAGTGGGCCTCATCAAAGAATACAAACTAGACTCACACTCATGCATCCCTACTCTTCACCTCAACTTTTTTCAGCTTTATGCATCGGACCATACTTTTTCTCCCAAGCACATGCCTCCTGCTGAAAATCCCGCTACACCATCCGAACCTATTTTTCCTGATATCCGATCCTACATGGACTGCGGGGCATCACCCTAGTGCTATGCATCGACCATGCCCTAATGCACCTATAGCTCAAGTGTCGCGCGCGCTTGGTCGTGCCTCTTGTGTTGACACCCTCCTCCATGCTCCTTGTTGTGTTCGGATGCTTCCCGAACGCCCGCGAGCCGCGTCGTGCGGGTCCAGCCTTAGGGATTGACTTCAGGGATCGGCCTGGCACACTGGCCAACCTTCGGGCCAACCGGGCCCTTTTATTCCTGTGTCGGGCCAAAAATCCATGCCTGCACGACATGGCCCATATAGCCAGGTTTTGGCTGGACCGATCATGTTGGTTCAGTTCACCTAGAGTGAGAAGAGGAGCGCATGAGTTATATCTTGCTTCACGCGAGATGGTAGCTTCTCTCGTGTAAAGTGAAGCGCGAGCGGGCCATCTCATCACTATAGTAGCGCGTTCATTTTTCCGCTCTTTGTTTTTTGTTTGGTTTTTTCTTCTGTGTTTTTTCGTCCGGTTTTATACTTTCTTGAGATAAGGTTTTCTTGTTTTTTATTTATGGTTTTTCTTTGGTTTTCATTTCTTCCTTTTTTTTCTTTTTCCTTCTTCTTATACCTTGGTTGTTTGTTTCTTCACCGGTTTCTTTGTTTTCTATTTTCGTTTGTTTTTCTCTGTTTTTTACCACCTTTCTTGTTTTCTTTATTGGTTTTTTTCTTTTTTCCTTTGGTTTTCTTCGTTTCTTTATTGGGTTTCATTATTTATTCTTTTGTTTTCTTTGTTTCTTTCTCGGTTTTCATCAACTGTTTTTGTTTTTTCTTCATTTTTATTTTCTTCCTTCTTTTCTACCTTTTGCTTTTCTTTCTCTCTTTGTTTCTTTATTTCTTTCATGGTTTTTATCAGTTTTATTTGTTTCTCTCTTTGTTTTCTCTATTTTCATTCTTTTGCATTATTTTCTTTATTTTTCATTTTATTTTGTTTTCTTTGTTTTTTGGTTTTTATTGGATTTCTTATTATTATTCTCTATTTTCATCGGTATTATTTTTTGTTCAACACATGTTAAATGTTTTCATTAGACATCCAATATTTTTGTATGCATAAGAAGCAATTTCTATATACACATTTATCATTTTTAAATACATAATTACCATTGTTTTACTTTTTTCATACATATTGTGTATTTTTGTTATATATCAAATACATTTTTCTGATGTGCATTTAATAGTTTTCGAATACAAGATTACCTTACATTATTCTTTTGTATACTTTATCTATAATCATTTAACTTTTTCAAATGCTTGGTTAATTTTTTTCTCAAATTCTTGAGTGTTTATTTAGAATATTAGGAATATAAATAAAAGTGAAAGAAAAAAAGCAAAAAACGAAAAACGTGAAAAGAAAAACTAGGTTGTGGCCTCCCGTGCTCCTGGGCCGGCCCATCTCGGCCCTTCAGGGACGAAGAGGCGAGCACGCAGCGGCTGCAGGCGGAGTTCGAAACCATCATCTTCAAGGATGGCGAGCGGGTCAACGACTTCGCCATGAGGATCACCGGCCTCGCAACCTTACTCTGCTCCCTCGGTGATACTTTTGACCACGGCAAGATAGTCCAAAATTTTCTTCACCTAGACCCGTTCCATTTTTTCTTTTGTTTGTTTTTCATTGTTTTTCTTTGGCTTTCTTTTTTTTCATTGATTTTCCTTTCTTCCTTCATTTTCCTTTGGTTTTCTTTGTATCTTTCTCGGTTTTCATCGATTTTGTTTTCCTTTATTATTATTTCTTTCCCTGTCGGTTTCATTTTTTTTGTTTTATTTCTTTCTTCTTTCTTTGTTTTTTCATGGTTTTCATCAGTTTTATCCGTTCCTCTCTCGGTTTTCTCTGTTTCCATTCTTTTGCACTATTTTCTAAGGTTTTTCATTCCTTTTGCTTTTTTATTTATTGTTAGCTTTGGGTTTTATTGGGTTTCAAGCTTCTTATTTTTTCCTTCTTTTGTCGATGTTTAACGGTTTTATTTTTTGTTCAACACATGTTAACTTTTTTAGTACACATTCAACTTTTTCGTATACATCAGATTCATTTTTAATACACATTTAAAGTTTTCAAATACACGATGAACATTTTCTGAAAACATATTTTTTTATGTCTACCTTTTTCATACATATGTTATATATTTCTTATATATCTATTAAAATTTTCTAATAAGCATTTTTTAAAATATAAGATTGTTTTTTAATACATGGTCAACATTTTTTCTACACACATTTTTAACATTTCTCAAATGCTTAATTAACATTTTTGAAATAAAAGATTAACATTTTTAATGCATGGTCAACATTTTTATACACATTAAAAAATTTGAAATGCTTGATTAATATTTTTACAAATGCAAATTAACATTTGTCAAATACATGGTCAACATTTTTCTATAAACATTTAGTATTTTTTAAATGCGTGGTTAACGTTTTTCAAATACAAGATTAACATTTTTTTACGACATGGCCAAAAAATATTCTATTGAAAGTTGTATTTTTTAAAATGCTTGATTACAATTTTTAGAATACTTCATTAACATTTTTTCAAATGGTTTATCAACATTGTTTTAAATACATGATCAACTTTTTTCATGCACAATGTATATTTTTGCATACATGAGAAATATTTATCTAGACTCCAAAGTTTTCCAAATACTTCGATATTTTTTTAAATAAAATTTTTAAAGTTTTTAAATATATTTGTTTACAATATTTGGAAGTATAAACAAAAGCAAAATACAAAAAAAAACGTGAAAAAAGAGGCTGTAGCCTCTGCCTCGGCCGGCCCATCTCCTCTAGAGGCGCCCGAAGCGGAGGGGGGTTGGACCGTTGAAGCGTCCCCGGCGACTCCAACCGGACCACGGGCGGCGCCGCAACTACTGGAGGTCAGCCAATCGAGCGGCGGTGCGGTGACTCCGGCGAGCACGGGCGCGTCCACTCCGGCGACCCGGACCTCCCCAAGGTGCCGGCCACCATTCTTTTCTTCGTCCCAGCATCTCGGCGCAGAACCGTTCCCTCGTCGGCTTGGGCCCTCGTTGGGAATCAGAGTTCGTGGAAGCAAATCAGAGCGGGGGGACTCGGAATTCCTTCACCAATCAACAGAGAGATTCCTGTTCTAGTCTGGATTCGGATCTGCTTCGCCTACTCGGAGTGGGGGTGAGACCCCGGCCGGCGATCTACAAGTATAGCCGGGACCTGCCTGTTCTCTCTTCAAGACTAGGATTTTCCAACAGAGGCTCTGTTCTAATTGGCTCGTCTTCCAACAGAGAGACTCTTCTCTGCTCTAAGCCATAGCCATGGAGACCTGTAGCTTTGCCAGGATAATCAGATTGCAGGACCTAGCTATGTACCGGCACAAGTTGTGCTCTCTAGTCTTCAGACTTTTGCCCAGGCTGCTGCTAGGCTTCCCTCCCAGCTCACTCAGGAAATTCTTCAGAGACGAACATGTTCCTGTGGCACTGACCGAGACCAAAATGGCGGGCACATTGCCGGAGCTGCCGCAGGACATCTTGATGGCTATCTTTGCCGCTCTCGAGATCCCTGACCTCGTGCGCGCTGCCTCCGTCTGCTCATCCTGGCACTCCGCTTACGCCGAGCTACGCACCCTTGGGAGGAACAAGCAGGGCCAGACGCCTTGCCTGGTCTACACCTCTGAATCTGATCCTGATGATGTTTTGTCCCTCTACAGCCTTGCCGAGAAGAGGTCCTACAAGTTAACTCTGCCGCAGCCACCTATGCGCAGCAGGTATTTGATTGGGTCCTCACATGGCTGGCTTGTTACCGTCGACGAGAGGTCTGAGATGCACCTTCTGAATCCAATCACCTGTGAACAGATTGCTCTCCCTTCAGTGACCACCATTGAGCATGTGAAGCCCATATTTGATGACTACGGTGATGTCTGCAACTATGAGATGTCACGGCACACTGGAACGCGCAGCAATCGTAAACCGCCATCCATCTTCGCTCTTGCCGAGCTGAGGGATAGACTCCAGTGGAAGGCATTTGTATTTCCTGATACATCCACAGGAAGCTACATTGTGGTGCTCATCCACAATCCACAAGCTCAGCTCTCATTTGCAAAGGCAGGGGATGATAAGTGGACCTGGCTTCCGCCTCATTATCTTTACGAGGACTGCATTTACAAGGATGACATATTGTATGCAGTGAATATAAAAGGAGAATTCCACGCATTCGATCTTAGTGGCCCTGTGGTCACTGTGAAGACGATTATAACAATTCCTGAGCATTATGATTGCGATACTAGGTACATCGTTCAAGCTCCATGGGGCAGTCTGCTACTCGTGTTTAGAATAGTTCATGACCATGATTTAGAACCTCATCCTGGTGCATCTGAGTACTGGAACACATCGGAAATTAAAATATGTGAGATTGATGCTCTATGGACTGAAATTAAGGCGATCAATTGCCTGCGTGACCATGTGTTATTTCTTGGTCATAATCTATCGCAATGCCTCAGTGTTAATGAATTTCCTGCTCTCAAGGCAAATCATTCCTATTTTACCGATGATAATTTTCTATGGACAGTGGGACATAAGAATAATCATCGTGATATGGGAATTCTGAACTTGGATGATAACAGCATGGAGGAAATTTTGTCTCCTCAGCTTTGCTCCAACTGTCCGGCTCCAATGTGGATTACTCCTGATCTTAGAAAAATGAACCTGATGGGCTCAATGAGCCAACAACTGTGAAGTCAACTGCTACAGTCACAATTAACACAAAGTGCAAGACGCTACTACTTGAGAGAGGTCCTGTTTGTGCTCCAAAAATGGCCTGCCGAGGGAGTGCTCAACATCAACATCCTTTTCTGCTCAGTCTTTTGACGACCCTGCTGGTGTTTTCAGAAAATCATGGACAAGATGGAATCATCGCGTAGTTACAGCAATCTGACAGTGTTTATGTTTCAAGTAGTTTGTAATAGTTTCCTCAAATGCTGTACACATGTTCTTCATAGTTTATTGCAAAATTTAATAAATACATGTTACTTTGTTGTTCTTACAAGAATCTAAGAGTGTAATTTCGTACATAGGTCAAAATGAAATATAAGAGCTCTCTGTTGTATCTGCACACAACAAAATATTGTTCCCGCATAATATTTTCATCTGTTCATGAATGAACCACAAGGATCTGGTTGTAGTTTGAGAACCATAAGCGTATAAACCCACACGATTTACAAGTTTATACAGCAATTCATATCTTTTATGCTAACAACATTTTGTTTCCTAGTACAAGCATGTCTCTATGGTAGCCACCAATCAACAGGCAGGTCGTGGCAAAAATGTGTGTGCCAGCGCAGGTCGAGGCCTGGAGGAATCTTAGCAGCACATCCAAACCTGCCGCAGCGAACAGCTATACAAAAGGAAACTAAACTGTGCCTGTTGCAATGCTTGATCATCTATACAAAAGGAAACTAAAGTTAGTTCAATGCGAATAGCTACTGAACTATGTTGCAGTGTGTTAGAGTAAATCTATGCTTGTTTAGTTTCTAACCTCTGAGGTGCGAACAATGCCGTTTGGGTGAAGCTCCTCCTCGAAAATACAAAGATGACACACTGTCGTCGTCGCCGGACAGGATCCAGCTGTTCTGCAGTACCTCTTATATCTCTCCTCAACCGCAGCAGGGACAGCCACTCCATCGATAATCTAAGCATAGATATAAGATTAAAAAAAACTGATGCAACTTGTGTTCAACTGAACCAATTCTGGCTATCATTTGCGCAGATATGGGATGGAATGATAAAAAATGCAGATCATTTTATTTCAGATATCATGCATTATAAGATGTGAAGCAATGCAAAAAAATGAATGCAAGGTTGATTGTCAAAACTCAAACTGAGTGAAATTACAAACAAGATATGTGACAGAGTACAAGCAAACTAAGACACAATCCTCTGCAAATTCCAGCAAAGTTTCTTTGCATAATGCTATGACTTTTAACTAATTAACACAAATTCAGTTCTCATGCAACTATCCACGAATTCCAACAAATAATTCATCAGAAAGATAAACAGCAAATAATTCATTCTGAATTTTGTTAAGTGATTAACATGAACTATCACTGATTAACTGATTACGAGGGAAAGAAATCAGTTCAGTTTTCTCATTTCTTTCTGATTGTATATATTTTTCAATTTTCTGATTACAAAAGGCAGGGGTCTGAACATAAGTTAATCCAGTGGATACAAGCAAGTTAAGGCACAATCCTATGGTAACTTTGTTTGCAAAATTCACAGAAGAACACCTTGTCGGTAACTTTGTTTTCCTATCACTGGATTTTAACTAAATGCAAAGTTTTTGCTGCCCTTCATCAGAAGAGAGCTGCTGCAATTCCAGCAAAGATTCTTTGCATAATGCTATAAATTTTAACTAATTGACATAAATTCAGTTCTCATGCAACTATCACTGAATTTTGTGTTCGGTTTTCAATTTTCTCAAGGTGAAGGCAAAGTTGTAGAGAAGGAGATAATCCTCTGAAATCTCAACAATTTGGGTAACGCAGAATACCAACAAAGGCATGGCTAAAGAAATTCGGGGAATGAGAGGAATAATTCATACCACTGGCACATCCTTCTTGGTCTGCCGATCATCCTTGTTCGTCTTCTCATCATCCTTGTTCGTCTTCTGATTACAAAAGGCAGGGGTCTGAACATAAGTTAATCCAGTGGATACATGCAAATTAAGGAACAGTCCTCTTGTAACTTTGTTTGCAAAATTCACAGAAGAACACCTTGTTGGTAACTTTGTTTTCCTATCACTGGATTTTAACTGAATGCAAAGTTTTTGCTGCCCTTCATCACAAGAGAGCTTCTGCAATTCCAGCAAAGATTCTTTGCGTGATGCTATAAATTTTAACCGATTAACATAAATTCAGTTCTCATGCAACTATCGGCAAATTCCAGCAAAGTCCATTTTATGGTTTGTGACTCAGTTTTGTGTTCTGAAACTATCACTGAAGTTTTCTGAAGGAAAGGCAAGAGTCTGAATTCGAGGAAGGAGAGGAATTGGATCATACCAGTGGCACTGGTGCGGGCTGCGGCTCATCAAGAACAGGAGCAGGAGGAGGGGGGATCACCCGGCGGCGGGGTCGCTTCTCCCAGTACAACCATGCCTTACTACGCCGCGGCACGGGGAGCAAGGTATTCTTCTTCTTGTCCTTCTTCTTGTTCTTCTTCTTCTTGTTGATCACCGGCGCTGCTGCTGGCGGCGGCCCGCTCCACCACCCCTGGAAGGCCTCGAAGATCCTCGCCACAACCGGCCCCGGAAACCGGAGTCGGAGGGCCTCCAGCAAGCTCCTGAACCAGACCGCGTCGGCCTGAGGCGGAAGGTGAGCGGGGGCGGGGAAGATCGTAAGCGGGCGAGGCGGCTGGGGTCGCGCGCCTGGGAGCTGCAACGCGGTCGCCTGAGATGTCGTGTCGACCTCGGGCTGGGTCGGCGGTGGTGGCGCGCCCGGGAGCTGCAGCGCGGCCACCCCGGACCCAGTCGGCGCACCAGGGAGCTCCAGAGCGGACACCTTCACATCGTAATTGGACGCCTTCGCCTTGCCGAGCTTCTTCCCGGCGCCCTGCGCCATTGGAGGGCTGTCCCCAAGAAGCCGCTTCTTGGCTTTTTGGTCGTCTTTTGTCTTCGCCCGTACGGCGAGGTGGAGCGGAAGGAGAAAGCACGGAGAGAGGGGCGTGAGGCGGTGGTGTTGGACGGCGGCGAGACGCTCTCTTGGGTGTTTGGCTGGTGCGAGCTTGGGGAGGAGGAAGCCGACGAGGAGGAGCTCGCGGGATTCAGAGCACTCTGTTTTGTTTTGGGGGGAAGGAGACGGAGGGGAGGGGCGGGCTCTGTTTAAGCGAGACGGGGAGAAGTCTCGCGTCGGGGGAGCCCCAGATGGGCCGGCCCGGCCGCGCGGGAGGCCACGGCCTGATTTTTCTTTTCTGTTCTCATTTTTGCTTTATTTTGTTACTTTTCTTTATACTTTAAAGTACTTGAAAATGTCGAATAAGTATTAAAAATGTTGAAAAAGTATTTTTAAAATGTTGAATAAGTCTTAAAAATGCTGAAAAACTATTTTAAAAATGTTTAAAAACTATTTGAAAATGTTAAATAAGTATTAAAAATGTTGAAAAAGTATTTGAAAATGTTGAATAAGTATTAAAAATGTTGAACAAGTATTTGAATTTTTATTGGGGGAAGGCTGGCCCGTTGCAAGTTCTCATTTTGTGTAAATTATTTTTTCTAATTTGTTTTATTTCTTTACCAACGTCTAAAATTTGTCTGGGTGGATCTACATGGTTGTGTGAACAAAAATGCAACCTCGTAGTGAGTCATACGGTGGCTCATAAAAATACGCCTGTTCCTCTACTTCCAAATGTTGCATATGGTATAGAGGAGCCTAGCACTTTGATGCTTGCATCCGTGCTTCAACTCGATGGTGATCAGCTCGTTCCACCAATTAGAGACATTGCCAGGTTTCGGTAGAAAGCCCAAAACCGACAAATCCTCATGTGTCCAGGCAGATAGGTGGTTCCATACAACCACAGAGAAGGGATAGTCCTTACATAGGTGGTCACAGTTTCTGGGACCTGGAGGCACAGTTGGCATCTCGGGTCGTGCGACCATCCATGAGCTACCAACATATCCGTTGTTAGGATCCTCCCATGAAAAACAAGCCAGGTGAAGATCTTGCATTTGGGCTCAGCTTGAGTAGTCCAAAATATGTTTGGAGTCAAACTTGGGGAGCGATCCATGAAATTGTACCGCATAAGCGGACATCGAGGAGTAACGCCTGTCTGTTGTCAGGTTCCAAGTAATGGAGTCATCCCAATCTGGCATGAGCTGCAGATTGCTAATCCAAGCCCAAAGGGAGACATACTCGCCAAGTTGAGGCCCAGACTGGATCCTTGCCAGAGCGTGAATCCAGTTATCGCCACTCAACTCATGGTTCACCGTCTTGTTCTTCCTCGAAGCAATCTTGAAGAGCTCTAAAGCAAGAAGCTTCAAGGGTCCCCTACCACTCCGGTCATCATGCCAAAACAACACCTTGAGTCTATTCCCAATGGAGTGGTGCAAGCCCGGAAAAGAGCCATATCTGCCTGATCACACGGTAGTTCTGAACCCACCCAAGGCCGGCCCGGGATAGTCCACTAGATCCACGGCTTTCGAAGACGCAAAGCCCGCCCAAATATGTCAAGGTGGGCAATCCCAAGGCCAACCAGTTGCCTTGGTTGGCACATCGTCTTCAAGTTGATCAATGAAATGCCTTCGAACGATTGCCCATTGTTATCCTTCTGCCACACGAATCCGCGTGAGATCTTACATCCAACTTGCGTAGGATCGACTGGAGCGAGAGACGCAAGATGGAAAGTAGCAATTAATGGCGGTGAGGACCGACTTAGCCAGGGCAACCCAGACATGCTTGTTAGGCCTTGTACAATGCTAGATGCTTAGAGAGGTGCTTAAAAGAATAAATCGGGTTTTTCTGAAGCATTGGTGCCTATTTCTACAGGAGAGACGCCTAGTTAAGCATCTACCCTGTACAAATAAGCACCGGCGCTTAAGGAAAGCCTGGTTTATTTCTCAAAGCACCTCTCGTAAGCACCTTGCATTGTATAAGGCCTTAAGGTGCTTGCCAATCCAACCAGGCAACCTGCCAGCGGCCTTGCGATGAGGGGTTGGAAATCAATCTTGCGCAGGCGCCGAAAGTGAA